ATAAAGTAAGAAAGAAAAAAGTTTTGGAAACGGTAAGGGGAATTAAAAGGCGATGGAGGCAGCGGGAAGGGAAACTTTAGTTTAGCAGCTTGGCGATGTTGTTAAAGTCTGTCTGTGCTTGCTCCCTTTTCATTGCTACACGAACAGGGCGCCCGGAAACTTGAATGCCTATCGCCACACTTGTTTACGTGAAGACAAACGTCGAAGTTAAGAGTTGCTACTGATTATATGACAGTACGAAAGCACGAATTAAAGAGAATACACAATGGTAAACTTGTTTGAGCTAAGTTATTCATTTATTACATTTAGTTACTGATAATACAGGCCGCGCCATAGCTCAAGCGCTTAGTCGCTGACTTCCCACCGCGACGACCCGGGTTTGATCCCGGGTCTGGTTAAGTGGGATTTGTGGTGGACAAAGTGGCGCTGGGGCTGGTTTTCTCCGAATTCTTCGGTCTCCCCTGCCAATCTTCACTCCACCAAATTCTCCATCATCATAATTACCCGGGGCAGGCTACAATAGGCCAATCAGTGGCCGCCGTGCCGAGTGGACCAAGTTGGACTCCACCCTCCACTAAGCGAATACTGATTATACAACAGTACCGAAGCATGAATTAAAGAGGATACATAATGGGAAAGGTATTTGAGCTAAGTTATTCATTAGTACAGTTCCTAATAAAGCGAAGTCTTCCTAGCAACGGAACCGAAATTTCGCAGGTTGTATGAATTGTTCTCTGGGAAGCATCTCTAGCAAAAGTCATGCGGCCTTTATCTGAATTGTGAGTGATTAAATGAGTTGTTAATTCGGACACTGTGGCAGCTTCACCGGTTCTTTGATTCTTACATTAATTATCAATGATTTGTAATTGTTAATTATGCGTAAAATGTGATTATGAATGCATATTGGCTATAATTAGTACACCAGAAAGCTCCAGTCGGCAATTTTCCTGGAGCTATTCAGAGAACCTCGGGTTATCTGTCGATTTCTGGAATCGAATCGCGTGCATTCTGGGTGCGAAGCAGTGTTGGCCACTGTTATGCAGTAGTTATCATTTCGTGCATCCTGCTGTGTTATTATATACAATTCTTTTTTGGAGACCGTTGTAACACAACAGAACGGTCAAGGTTAACGTTACCTTAGCTACATGTTTCGGCTTTTAAAGCCATCATCAGGCAAGACACATGATTACTATATTCACACACTATTGAACTGCAGTTTCGTTGTGACAGTAAAGCTGGATACTTGATAACTGTTACATTATAAAACACAAGGCACAAAAATACAATGAATTGCAAAACCATTACAAACGAAAATTATGGAACAAAATATAGTTAAAAACTCTGAATGTGATATTGCGTATCATGAATTCATATTCCAGCGGACATACAGTGGCGAGTTCAAGACTTGTCTACGTATATCAGACTGCCCGGAGGCCCGTGGCATAGCTGAAGCACTATTTGGCACTGATTGTTTGGCCCGTGCCTCACTTTACAATGTTGGGAATACAGATTGCAACTGCACTTTCCATCTCTACCTTATCTTGCCTATCGCATCGCTATCGTTTGTAACACAAAAGCAGTCTCCGTGGTTTTAGTCAGCAAGCGAACTATACCGACCGAGCGACCGCCGCTTGTCGGTGAAGTTAGTGCCAACTTTAGCGGATAGAGGGTGTCGCGTGGTCAGCGCAACGAACCTCCTCGGCCGTTAATCTCGGTTTTCTAGGTTTGTACCACTGTGAGGATAATAGATAACTCACTGGAGCTGAGCTATTTGTGCGGAGCCGTCAGTTGCGAAACTAAAGAATTTTCCGACGTTTTATGGAACCCGTAGGTTTATTATCGCGCTTACAATAATCCTCCACTAGTCTCTCTCCTGAGCCAGATCAATCCAGTCCATACCACCCCATTCTGTCTCCCTTAGATCTGTCTTAATATTATCCTCCCATCTGCGTCTAGGTCTTAATAGTGGTCTTTCTGCTTCCAGCTTTCCAACTAAAATAATATATGCCTTCCTCTTCTCACCATGCGTGATAAATTTTCTCCAACCTCCTAACACTTCATCCCTCTTCGTCCCAAGAATTCTCCTCAGCACCCTGTTCTCTCGAACACCCTCAGTCTGTGTTCTTTTAATGTCAGAGACCAAGTTCAACCTCCATACAGAATCATGGGCAAAATTATAGCTTTGTATAATCTAATTTTTGCTTTTTAAGGAGCAGACGACAAGACTGAAGGTTCTGGACAAAGATAGTACATAGTTTGTATAAACCAGGAATTTTCTTTTTGTATATTATCCTAAATTTCCCACGAACTTCATACCTCTAGGCAAATTTTTTCTTTAAATGAAATAAAAGCGGAGTTTGATTTTCATTTGGTCCAGTTTCAGTTTAATGAGAACTTCATAAGCAACCTGAATGTTGATAGCAATACGGAGGTAAGAGTTGATTTTGGGCATAGAGTAGTAACTTGTTGGGCCCCCTATAGTCCCTATTCTCTCGTGCAGTTAATCTGAATGTAGTTTCTCCTCTTACATCATTTTCGTTTTGTATTCTTTGGACGGAGTCCTTCCCATGTGGGAGCGCAGAGAACTTACCGGAACGTATCAGACCCTTCATGCGAATACGGACTCGTCCTTTGCTTACATTCCTATGCAGTGCTCATGTGCCCTCGTATCATTTACTAACTCCGTGAAGAAGGGTTATTTTCTGAGAAGTCAGAAGCATGTTGAGACACATGGCCGAATTGAACCCCTGTATGAGGCTGTGCCATAGCTCAGGTGGTTAGTCGCCGGCTTCCCACCGCGGCGGCCCTGTGTCAGGTCATGTGGAATTTATGGTGGACAAAGCGCCATTAGGACAGGTTTTCTCCGAGTACTTCGGGTTTCCCTGCTAATTCTCATTCCACTGACTTCTCCACATTCAACATCATCATCATCATCATCATCATCACCATTACCATTCTCATCATGTACCATCTGGAGCTGATACGTAAGTGAGTTAATAAGTAAGTTACAAATTGATGTGGGGTACTTCATGTTTGAATAAGACACTTGAGGCTATCGCTACTAGATGGCAGCATTCGTCCGGTGGCAATTGATGACATTCGACATTAGACAGTCGATGTTTACAAAAGCGAAACAGCAGTTGCAAGATGGCGGCGCCTCTGAGTGAGTGTACAACCCTCGAGCAGCGCTCCGTTGTGCGATTTTTATGGGCAAAAGGTATGGACTCAAAGAATATTCATAAAGAAATGCTTCTCATCTACGGTGAGAAGTGCCTGTCACGTCAAGCTGTTTACACTTGCAGAAGTTCTCTGAAGGGTGGACACGTATCGAAGACTAACACCGCGTTGGCCGGCCAACGGCGATTGCCACAGAGGCGAATGTGCAACGGGTTGAAAACTTAATTCGAGCAGACAGAAGGGTAACTATAGACACTATAGCCACTGCTATTGGTTGTTTACACGGCATGGCCTACCTCATAATGCATGATAGGTTAGGTATTCACAAAATCTGTGCACGATGGGGGCCACGCATGCTGACCCCACAACACATAATGCAAAGAATGGGTCTGGAATTACAGCATCTCAATCGCTACCACGATGAAGGACATGATATTCTAGCCCGAATTGTCACGGGTAATGAATCTTGGGTTCACCATTGCCAGCCCGAGACAAAGCGTGCGTCAATGCAGTGGAAATACCCTGCGTCGCCTGCCAAAAAGGAGTTTAAGGTGATACCATCCTCCAGGAAAGCGGTGCTCACAGTCTTCTGGAATCACGAAGGCACACTGCTCACTGCATTCCAGCCTCAAGGACAAACCGTAAATGCAGACTCCTACTGTAACATCCTCAGGAAACTTCGTAAGGCCATTCAACAGAAGCGACCAGGACTCCTCACCAAAGGCGTGTTGCTCTTGCATGACAACGCGCGTCCCCATACTGCCAACAAGACAATGAGACGCTGCGAAATTTCAAGTGGGAAGTCCTCGAGGATCCTCCGTATAGCCCCAACCTTGCTCCAAGCGAATTCCATTAGTTCGGCCCTCTGAAACACCATCTTTCGGCTGAACATTTTCCCGACGATGAAGCTGTAGAAAGGGAAGTTACCACCTGGTTCCGAGAGCAGCCCAAAGAATTTTCAGAGGCTTGTGAAACGATGGGACAAGTGTCTCACTGTACAGGGAGATTATACATTACATTTCGGTTCAACTTCGAAAATGTCCGTAGATAACGTCCAGCTAAAGTGTGTATACTTTTTACGCGCCTCTGTATAAACGTATGCAGTATATATAAACTTTCCACTACAAGATGGACTTCTGATGTTTGTGTTTGCATCTGATGATGATCATTTTACGGTCTGAACATGTAGTTCATAAGTAGGAATAGAAACAGTTTTTTTATATAAGTTTTTATGACAGGTAGTCTCAACCCCTGAGTGATAGACACAAACGGGGTGCAGTCATATGAGATCATCTTACAGAAATTTGCACATAATAAAGTACAACGTACGTCTTGTTAGGATTGCAAATTGTATTTAAAATGTTTTATGTGATGCATATCTAATTTATTGCAAGCAAAACAAAAAGATTTCTCATCTTTCGGTATTCTTAAAATTAAAAATCACAGCGTTTCGGAAACTCGATCTGTCCGTCCTCAGATGAGAGGGAGACACCTGAGTTCCTTAAGAAATAGCTAACCTCGATCTCTCCCTCACCCAAGGACGGAAACAGACCCGGTTTCCGAAACGTCGTGTTTTCTAGTTTTTAGAATACCGGACGACGGATAAAGCTCGAAAACCTAATACACGTAATTGTGAGTGTTATACACTATCCACAGAACCCTTTAGGATGCACAAGATGGTTTCTCTGCACCAGATGAGCTTGGTCAACAGTAGAGTTGTGCAAAAGAACAACGTTTCGGAAACTTGAAGGATTTGTCCAATTATTCTTTGCAATACTTTCCAGAAGGTGTTAAGTAACCTGTATCTGTTCTGATTATTACAGGCGTACGCGAACAGTTACGGTGGAACGGGAAATGAAACGTTCGGCCCCGAGTCACCATTTTTCCCGTTCGGCAACGCGCCGCGCCGGCCGCCGGCCACAGGTAAGTAGTCTTGTTACCTGAAATGCTCCATGTTAGAGGACGAAAGCTATTAATATTGTGACATGATGCCTGAAAGTCGGAATAGTGGAGCCAGAACAGACGTCCATTGCTAGGCAATGGCTCGCTAAACGCATTCCCCCGGCAACGAATACGCAAGCAACAATCGAATAACTGCCGTTTCTATTGAGCGGCGAGGTAAACGCATGTCTGTAACAATAGAGGAATTGTTAGGAAACAGTATGTTCTCTTGGGACCGATCTTAGACCATATAACGAAGATTGCAGGCCAGCTGGAACCAGAATAGAGGGAATCTCTTGAGATGGTAGTCGAGTTCCGTTGTTCCAAGTAAGCAATTAGTCGGGAGTTGAGAAGATGGCGCTATGAATTCGTTGGAAGTCCGGCTGTTAAGAAATTTAAGTGTGATGTAATTCAGCGAGACTGTTATAGCTCCTGTGTTAGAATCCGTTGCCAGGAAACGGATAGTGGAGACCGTAATAGACTGACGACACTGGTGTGTGTGTGTGTGTAACAGTGAACTGTAAAGTGTGGAATTAGCGCTGGTGTTCTAGCTGTTTGTAGTACGGCCTGTAAGTGTTCAGTAAATCCCGTAATGCAAAACCTCGTCTCTAATCACGCACTCCCATAAAACGTGACAGTATGTCAGTGCATAGTTGCAGGTTGAGAACTGGCCGGACCGAAGTGATGGATGTTTGTATATAAGAGTCTCAGGTTTGCTCGGATGTTCACAACAGAAAGCTGCAGTAGCAGTTACTGAAAGGATCCCCAGGTCGCAGTGAGAGAGGTAGCTGTGCTTCAGTGGGTATTACAGCATCTAGTTTCCCCGAAAACAGATTTTCACTGATGTTACAGTGGTGAAATTTTGATTTAATGCGTATAAAATTGAATCAGTGGAGAGATTACCTAGGGAAACTGTAAAACTTGAACTCCGTGGCCTGTAGTCCGCAAGCTAACTATAGCGACCGAGTGACCGCCGCTTGTCGGCGAAGTTAGTGCCAACTTTAGCGGATAGAGGGTGTCTCGTGGTCAGCGCAACGGATCCCCACGGCCGTTAAATCGATCTTTTAGACCAGAGCCGCCATTTCCTTGAAATAGCTCCTCAGTTATCCTCACGATGTTGAGTGAACCCCGTTCCAGACCCAGTACTTCCCAGAAAATTTGGTAGCGCCGGGAATCAAACCCTTGACCTCTGAATCTGTAGCCTGGAACTCTGACCACTAGACCACAGAGGCGGTCTTATAGAAACTGTAGCTAATGATAATTGTTTATTTGTAAGGTCCTGACCATTTGTTGCATTAGGGACCTTTCAGAATAATGTGTCCTTAGTTATTGCGCCACTGTGTTGCCAGAGGGTAGGTGTTACTGACGGAGTAACGTTACACTAGACAGGAGCAATGTGTTGTTATTCAGTAAGGTTAATATGTTCGTATAAATTTAGCATTCTTTCCAAACATTTCAAATACTGAGGTTGAGTATTTTTGATGAACGCTATATTTAACAGTTTCTCGTTGAAATTTTGACGTCCTGTATACCAGTAGACTAATAATGAAATGATTCTACAGAGATTTTCAGAATCTCAAATATGTTCATTGTCTGTTTGCACAGTTTTTAATTGTGTTTGCTTTCGTGTATTGAGTAGGCGTTTATAAGGCTGAATTCAAACTCCCTATAGAAAGTTCTGTCTTCTGGGATATAACGGTGCATAGTCGGGGGTGACTTAACACCGTATCGCACGGCTTTATTCCCAGAAGGTGGAACTGTTCATAGTCACTGATGTAAGATCCGCAAATCCAAGAATGTAAGTAAGTAAAGCTATCCCTGTAACAGGCCATGAAGGCCCATAGGGTTGTGAGACGATGAGGGTCCCACATTATCTAGACAGTCGGCTCAAAGATGGCGGTAAGGTCAGCCTTACACGCTGGCCGCGCTTTACTCCCCAGGAAAGTTATTTATTTAATTCCTGGTACTCATTTGTTAGAGGCTGAGTGAACCCCAGGGCCATAGTGCGGGCGGAAGGATTAGGTCAACTGAAAAAAATCCAGTGACCTCATCGGTATTTGAACCCGCGACCTTCCGACTTGTAGCACTACGCTACCGCGTGCCCCATCCAAACGAAATGGGCAACGTTCACATATATCGGAAAAGAAACAAGAAATATCATAAAATTATTTCGAGACACAAAATTAAAAATAGCATTTAGAACTAAGAACAATTTACAACATATACTAAAATCAAGACCAGAAATAAATAAATATAACAATAGCGGCTTATATAGTATGAAATGCCTAGATTGCCCCAAGGAATATATAGGACAGACCGGGAGGATATTTAATACCAGATATAAAGAACACATATATGACATAAGACACAATAACAGCAATACAGGATATTCAGAACACATATTAAACACAGGACATGCATATGGTACTATAGAAAACACTATGAATATCATAGCAACAGGTAGGAAGGGGCAATACTTAAACACATTGGAGAATTACCATATATATAGAACGACAAAGAAAAACACACACATGAATAACATCAATAAAGAAATATACAACCCAATATACCACGAATTAAACACTATCTACACAGAACAACATAACAACACCCCACCCCCTACCCCCACCACATCTACGCCCACAACATCATAACTCACTCAAAACGAAGACAGAACACACACACATACCCAGGAAGCCCAACAGTATAACACACGCAGTCGCAGGAGCACGACACAACAAAACCACAA